CTCTCTCTCTCTCTCTCTCTCTTCACCTTTAATCTTTCAATTTCTCTAACAACCACATTAATTGTACCCTAATACACTAATCATTTACATTGCTTTTTGTTTACAGTTTATTTTATGATGATTGATGAAGATAAATCTTGATGATGGTTTGCAAAAGAAAAGTTTCAAACAATTAACAAGCAATTAAGCTTTAATATTATTGTTTCTATCTAATCATCATCATGGTATCGTTTATATGGGATTCAGTTAGATTTGTTACCTTGATTGGGTAACTATTAATTTCATCACAATTTACACCAATGACTTTACAAATACCAGTATAATCAAATTGTGAAGATGATTATTAGAAAACAACAAAATTAATGTTAATCCATTTTCATCTTTATCATCTTGATAAATAAGGTTTCATTAATGGATTAATATTACCATAGGAACATATGGTTCTTATTGACATGAGATGGAAATTGCAACATTTAAGCTTACAGATTAATGTAAACAAGAAAATATGTTTTAATTTAATCAACCGATAAACAATATCATCAACCACCATGATTACAATTAACAGTTACAATATTCCCAAACCACCATTGATTTACAATCAATTATAATTGATTGATGTAAATTCTGTACAATCAAACTTTACGATCAAACTTTAACTTTACAAGTTTGTTTCAACTGAGTTTCTTATATGTACATAAAGTTGACATTTTGTTTTTCTCCATTGATTAATTAACGTTGATTGCAACCTTTTCATTGCGTTCGTATCAATAAACAATATGCAAATTTTATCAATAGATTTTGATAGATATCAAAAGGAAGCCTGAGAAAAACAACAACAACAGTCGCATCGTCTTAGCAAAAATTAATCAGGTATAAAAAAGTTTGTCGTTTGAAAGGTTTCCATCAGGTTGTTGAGTTTATCAGGTCATAAGTGAAATTAAGAGCAATCAAGTCAATTGGTTAACTCATTTCATCGCCGGTTGATGGTGAAAAATTCATTGGTGTTGACCATTGGGTCGGTGTTTTGTTTTGATTTGTAATTTACACTCTATCAGGTTTAATCAGCTGTTTTTATCCTTGTAAGGGTTGATAGGGATGAAGAGACAATTACATCTTAGTGGTGATGGATCGATGATCGGTTTGATTTGGCTTTTCTTTTAAATGGAACAGTTATATTGCTGATATTACTATCATGTTGATTTCCATTTGTTTCTAATTACAAGTAATTAATAAATGAAAATAGTCTTCATGTAGGAAAAAATGCTTCAGGTCTATAAGAAGTGTGGTTAGAGATAGACAGAGAAAGAAAGAAAAAATAGTGAGAGAGAGAGAGAAAAAAAGAAACCATTTCAGTAAACAGGCAAAAAAAGAAACCAAGTTAATTGTTTAGGCTTGTGGTGATTGTTGTTGAGATGATGAGGTGAAGATGATTGTGAAGATGTGCCTGTGTTGTTATTGCTATTGGATGTTGTCACAATGTTGAATGAAGATGATGAATTGGTTGTGGTGGTTGATGGTGGTGAGTTTTCCTGTTCACATAAATCAAGTTGCTTGAGTAATCTGAATAGAGCTGCTGCCTCTCGGATTTTACTAAATTCAATACAAAAAGCTTGAACTTCTAGGAAAACATCTTGAATCTTGATTATCTTGTTGCGAATTAGTGATTGAAGAAAGACGCAGGCCAATCGGACTAAACGATTTTGCATACATTTATCTTTGATTCGTTCACAGGTTTGTATGCAATTAGTAATGTAAAGATGGACAAATTCTGGGGGAAGTTCAACAACGGTGGTTAATCTATTTACAACTTCCATTGAGTGAACGGACATCTCCATGTTGACAAGAACCGATAGATATTCAGAAATTTGATTAGATGGCATAAGTGTTAATAGAACCTCAATAGCAATTAGTGGATTATTTTCAACTAATTCAGGTAACTTGGCTGGTGTTAATCCAACATGGTAGATTAATGTATGATCTTTTTCAATCTCTTGGAGTAAAGTTTTCTGTTGGTCAACAGTTAAAGTTGATTCAAAGGCTCTGGACATTAGAGTTTTAGCTTCTGATACTCCAGAGACACGAGAAGACACAGTTGGATCCCAGACCATTTTGAAATCATCCAATTCTGAAGGGAAAAGCCATGCAAGCTGAAAGAGATGAATTGAAATGAATTAATGAAAAAAGTCACATTTATAGAGACATTTATAGAATGGGAATGAAATAGAGATGGGGTTATTACTATTTTTACCTCATCTTCAGCGACATGTAATGGTGGAGGTAATCGAACCATTTCTGGTTTGAAATATTGTTCAGTTAAATTTTCTCCCAACAGGAGAGACTCTAATACTTTTCAGTGGCTTGTACATCCTTTTCAATCTTGGAAGAGGTTGACTTTTTATCTCCGCCATATTTATCCTCAACAAAGGTATAATTTTGTGTATCAGGATCAGGAATAATAACTGATACTCCAGCTTTATTGTTAGTAAAAGGAATCTCACCTTCTTTATCGGTTAAAGAATTGAGAAGTTCACTAAGATTAAAATAAATATCAGACATAATGAACCAAAAGAAGCAGAAAACAAAACAAAAGATTCAACAATCACACATTCAAACACACACAGCGAAAAGTGAAGAAAGAAAATTAAAGAAAAGAAGAAAAGAAAATACAACTTAATAAATATAAATATTAATTAACACACAATCAAAATAAAAGAAAACAAAAAATTTCAATGAAGAAAAATAAATAAACAAACAAGAAAAAAAATCACCGATAGCAAATCGATTTAAAAAAAGATCGATTACTAGTTGGGTTAACCGGAGAAAGAGAAAAGGGAGGAGCTTAGAGAATATTTGCCGCGAAATTTGAAAAGAGTGAATCGAAAGAGTTAGTAAGGTATGACTGGTAATGTTTTGGACTAATTTTTTAAAATTAAGTAGCGTCTCATTGACTAGACTTGATGGCTTCGTTTGACCGTAATAATTAAGATTCACTATCTGACTACAATTGTTGAAAAATTCAATTTCATGATGATTAAGATTAAAAAATACGGAGGTCCAAACATGAGCGCGTCGAAATTTAATTTCCTCTTTCATTCATCAATTTTCTATAAAACAATTGAATTCTCAAAAAATTTTTGGCTTTTTGCTTTTTCAATGGGAAAATACATGTAAATACATGAATGAATTTTCATCGATTGTGATCGATTAGAATGTGAATAATTATAATTTTGGATAAAGTCAATAAGTTCAGCCAGTCAGTCGCTAATCAATTTTAGTTAGCTTTTCAGGCAAAACGTCTGAGTTGTGATCATAAGATTGTTCACCATTAATCAGGTCAAGTTCCGAAATCCCAATAGGTTTCAGGTTTTTCCTGACATTTTGGTTTGAATCTACACCTTTTGGTCATCAGTCATTGGCATGGGTAGGTTTTCTTTAATAATTAAATCAAATCCAGTTAGGTGATTCACTCAGGTACGGATTAATTTAAATGCTCATCTGATTCTAATTATATTTGTTGTTAAAGAATCAGTTTGATAATGTGGGGTGAAATTCTCGATCTAAATTCACTAGTTTTCGAAAATTCAGACTAAACATAAAAATCGAGAAAATCACTTTTTGAGTTTGGAAGGGCCTAGAAAATCAATTAATCAGTTGTTTCTGAATGTAATTATAATCACCTGTCTTTTAATGATTGGTTTAGAATTTCAATTGATAGAATAAAGATTTAGTGGACAATCGAAGAAAAGTCCAAAAATTTGCAGGCAAATCAAGGGGTATTACTTTTTTGTTGTTATTTTTAAATTGACTTTTCGACTTTTTACAAATAATTAATTAATTGTTCGATTTATTAATTTTTTAATCAATAAAATTCTTACTATTTTCTCGCTAGTTTAAGATAGATATTAAAAAATCGTACCACTAATTAAATCAAAATCAAGAAGTTCCGTAACTTTGGGTGAATCAATCTAATATAAATGGCTTATGGTTGCCTTTAATTGAAAATTTAAGGCATTGAAAATTATCTTGATTGTGCTTGTAGCTTTCGATAGTAAGTAATTGCTAGCACTGAGAACGCTAAATTTTACTTTAATTTGAATTCATCTCATTTTGCCGAGCATTTTCAATAGGCACAATTTTTAGTCTCTTTGTTTTGTTGGTCTAAGGAAATGTAAGTTTGAAAATGCCTATTAGACATTTGGAACTCGTCAGAGGTAATAAAAATATTAAACTTACATTGAATTCATATAACTTCCATGTAACTTTCGATCATCTTTGAACCAGATAATTTCTGGACAAGGGTTACCATTGGACCTGCACTTTAATGTTACACTTTCACCAGCATCTTACCTTATAAATATATATTGATTTTTTTGGAGATGAATGGGCCTGATTAAGAGAAATTAAAATAGAAAATGGATTAATTATTAATAGATCATCAAAAAACAGTAACTGATGAATTTTTCCTCACCTGACGGACGTAATTTTCTTTCATTTGAACTTTTAGCATTGGACCACATTAAGCAGAAAGAAAATGATAGCAATAAAAGTAATAGTTGGTAGTTACACAAAATACAGTCACCTCTCTAATCGCACCCTTCTGCATGTGCCAAGTTTTTTGGTACCGATTGGTGTAGCATTAGAGAGGTGTATTGATGTTATAAAGTGTATAGAAAGAGAGAGAAAGAGTTAAATAACAGGGGAAAAAAGGCATATTGTCAGGCAGAGTGTCATCGACTGTCAAACACACAATTGTTTTAGTTAAATGTTTATCAAAACATGTGGCTGAAATCGAGCTTCACGTGAATTTGCAGACAGTTAAAATCTGTTACGACCATGACGATCAAGTTTAGGATTAGATATTTTTCATTATGGATCTCTGAGGCCGACGTTTCATTGTCAGGTTCACCGTCAGAATTTATTTACAGATCGATGATCAACTTTTTTCTGACTGTTGCTGATCTGATTCGACAACGAAAATTATTAGACTAGTTAATGGCGCCTGATCATGCGCACCAATAAATCCAGAGATCAAAAGCCTGACTCTTTATCGAGATTTGGCCCCACTGAGCGTGTTAACAAAAGTTGCATTGAATCAATAAAAAATAGACTTTTGATCTCTAGATATATTAGTGCGCTTGTAATCAGAAGCATAATGATCTAACTTGGGTGATCTAATAAGTTTTCATTCCGAAGTTATACGCTCTCAAAGTTGTATGTGTCGAATCAGATCAACTGCTGTAGCAGGTCAAAGAAAAAAGTTGTCGAAAAAAGCTCGAGTCCAGCTATAGAGCTATGTTTGAGGTTTAATTTGATCTACTTAAATAAATTCCTGACGGTGACCTGACGAAATGAGAGCTTGTCGAAAGAAATGATTAATAAGTCAACATCCAGAGATAGAAAATTTTCTAATCCTAGAGCTGGTCAGTCGATGGATCGTAAATAAGAACTAACATTCTGCAAAATCAATATGAAATTCGGTTTGTTATATGATATATTGACAGCAAAAACTTCTAATCGCCGATTGTATTGCCAACCAGAATTTTTTAGAGCTTTTAAAACGGATAGAGAGGTTTTATTAAATGTTCTAACTAAAACAATTGTTAATAAAGTGTTAGACGGAGGCGATAACAGGGTTGACATTACTCAAATTTGACGAGTATTTCGTTCATTTCCTTTTGATTTAATTAGATTGAACCATGGGTCGATGGGTTAATGTTGTAAAAGAAAAGTAAGTTATCATAAGTATCATCATTTGAGAACAAGAGATATACAATGAGTCTGATCTATAAAATAAAAAGAAATGACGGAAAAGTGTGATATTATGGAATGGATCACTTGAAACAATCAACGGTCAACTTACAAAAGAACTGGAAATTTTCTAATGGAAAGAATAGAAAATATAAAGTTCTAGATAAATAAAATTTGCAAATTAAGATTTTTATTAATTTACCATAGATGGGTTAAATTTTTAATTGTTTGAATTGAACCAAAAAATATACATGTATTGAGAAAGTTCAATCCTCTAATTGATTCAGTTTAATCAAGTGAACAACAATTTCATTTGATTCATAATTTCTGACTCTCTGATTAATCTAATTACGATTAATACAGCCAGAGTAACACCTCTCTAATCTCCGCCTCTATAATGTCACAGATTCTTCAATTTCACAATTTAATTTTGCCCCAATTAAGGAGATAGAGAATATAGTTATAATATGTCACACGCTTTAATCTCGCAATCACATATAACTCTTCGAATGATAAATAGTCAGTGTTTTCCATCTCTTGACCTTTACCTTTATTATTATCATTTCCTTCAAACATAATAAACTTACCATCTTCTTCTACTTCTTTTCATCCGCATCAGCATATTCCCTGCACTACTTAATCTTTCATCTCCAACCTCTTCCTCTTCAAAAATCAAATTCCTCTTGTTTATCATCTTCCTTTTACATCATCATTTTACTTTCCATCTCTTTCTCATCCTCTCTATCATCCATACGGTCATCCTCATCATTAACATTATCATGCTTCATTTGATTTATTTTGGTCAAATTCATTTTCAATCTCACCATTTTCCTGATTACTTATCATTTCATCGTTTCTGTTTCGGTTTTTTCATGTCCGGTGTCAGGATCCGGATCTCGTCTGAGAAGCTCACGAAGTTGGACAAACGGTTCACCTTTCGAAGATGAATTTAAATTTAAAACTTTTCGAGTCTCATTTGGTGATGAAATCATTTGCAAGTTCAATAATGAGAGAAGCCCTTTAACCCAAAATCAGTTGATGGATCAGCAATCTTAACCAATTGTTGATTATTAGATGAACGAAATGGAAACGGTAAACTTGGAACATGTTTCAATGAATTAATCACATTAACGTTACCATGATGATGACCATTGGTCAAACTTTTAGAATTATTATCATTATTAATTGAAAGACGACCACAATTAACTTTAATTGTTGATGTTGTTGCATCTGATTTAATCCGGCAGAAGCACAATTTACATCACAAGAAGATGAATTAACATTGTTTACACTTGCAATTGGAATCAATGTTTTCTTTAATGGCCAAAATTTCTTTAATATCAAAAATTTGTTCATGAGGAGAATATCCAAATATATCGATATGATGAAACGTATTCTTAGGAAAATATTGACCAACAACCAAGAATAAGATCAATCTACGATTGCCAGTTATCATTGCCCTATTTGCTTAACTTCGATGCTGGAAATTGTACAGAATCGGAACTGAAAAACTCTGACCTCCCTTACTTGTTTTCTCGGTGGCATTTTCACAATTACCCTCTCTACTTTCTTACACTAGAGCTGAATAACACGATTTATCTTATATATTGCTAATATTGAGTATACTTCCAGTGGATGAGGAAGATGATAAAGATGATCCAGTCAAACCAATGTTGTTGAAATTGTGTAAAGTTATATTAATAAGAAAACCAGAAATACTATCAACACCACTGGTCAAATTGTTAAGTACATTGTTATTAACACTTTCATTTGCACCAGAAGAGTTTGATTCATTTTTTGTTATTATTTTGTTCATTAGACTGAATCTTGAATGGATATTAATTTTTTTTTAATGTATTTAGGTTAACAATAGATGGCGAAAGGAGCAACTGGTTGAACAATCGGTTTAATTTAATTGTGATTATGAATTATTTTCATTTGATTTTCCTAATTAATCAATTGCTTATCAATTGGTGATTAATTTATGGAAAGTTTAAAGATAAGTTCATATGAAATGAAACAATTAAAGTCAAAGTTGAAAGACTTGACTAATTGTGATGATCAAAACAATTGATTATCATTTGATTTATATATACAATTAATCAAAGGTAATTAACATTTGAACAATTAATTTACTATTTTTTTTTATTAATGATATTTATATTTTCAAAGGTTTAATTGTAAACAATTTGTTGATGTTTAATTGTAACACTATCAATCATTATCACTGTTAAATCTCAATCTGATTAATTAATTGGTAATTGGTAATGACATCGTTAACTCAATTACTACAATTTAAACAATCATTAAATAAGTAACTAAATATTACTAATGATCTTGTTTACAAATTAACGATTAATCAATTTTAATTCTGTTTGTTTCAATCTTAAAGATCATTAGTAAATTGATTTGTTTCATTCCCTCCCAAACAATTAACCATTATCACCTTAATCAATATCAACAACGCTTAATATTTAATTGTTTCACTTTTATTTATAGAGATTAATCCAATTGAAATGATTTAGATTTTAGTAAATATGATTATTTAATTGTGATTGTTTTTCTGTTAATTTTAATGATTTAATTATCTCTCTCACTCTCTCCCATTGACAATTAATAGTTAATTGTAAGACTCACGAATGACAGAATGAGAAACTATATAAATTGTTTCGATTGATCAACTAATCAATTCATTCCCAATTTGAGCAATCAAATCAACTCTGTTAACATTATTTTTTTTAAGTCAAATTTAATTTAATTTATTTATTTTAACTTGTGTTAGTTGATTGTGTTAATTAATTTCTGTGAAAATGAGACTAAGTGTAAGTAAATGAAAAACCATTGGATAAAAAATCAATCTACCATTGGAATTAAATTATTGTTACAATTAGTTTTTCTCGAATGATTGGACATTTCGATTTCATTTTTCCATTACAATTAACTAATTATGATTTTCTCTCTTTTCTCTTTTAGTTAATTATGTTATTTTATGCTTTTTTCTTTTCCATGATCATCATTCTAAGTCAAAGTATTCCGATTCCAATTCCCATTCGTTTACCAATACCTATTCCACTGCCAGTTCCCCTGCCGGTGCCACTGCCGGTGCCTTTACCATTACCTATTCCCGTTCGTGACCCGGTGGGTGCGATTGGTGCTGTTGCCGGAATTGTGGGTGGACTGGCGAGTGGATTAGTTGGTGGACTTGCTAGCGGATTAACTGGTGGATTAGCGGGAGCATTGATTGCAAAGAAGAAGAAGAAAGAACATGGTGAACATTATGAACATGGTGAGGAGAAACATAAAGAAAAAGAAAAGAAAATGAAGGAAAAGAAAAAGAAAGATGAAAAGAAGATGAAGAAAATGATGAAAAAGGCTAAGAAAATGTCGAAAAAGAAAAGAAAAGAAAAGAAAAAAGATGAAAGGAGGTTCCATGCACGGTGGGTATTCTGATGATGATGGTCAAGGTGATTTTGACCTCGCAGGTAATCAGGATTCAGCTTATCAATCGGAGACCGATCAAAGTGATAACTCAGGTATGGAAGGTGAATCAGAACTTTCAATTCTGATTCTATTCATGGTAATGATCAAAGTGCTAATGATCAAGGTGATGGACTATTAGGATTTAATGGAGCTCAAAGTGACCACAATAGTAACGTGAATAACAATGCTAACGGTGATTATGGTAACTCAAATCATGGAACTGATCAGCAGTTAGTTTCTCAAGAGCAAAATGTTGATTCCTCCGGAGATCATGGAATTCCTGGAAATCATGGAGGTTCCGATGATCAAAGTTCATTTGGAGGATCAAATTTTAATACTCAAAATACTCAAAGTGCTCATGGTTCATCATTTGATCAACAACAAAATGTTCCCAATGAACATGGAGTTTCCAATGATCAAGAACTGTCCTCATTCTCGGGTTCAAATTCTGGTAACAAAACAATAATAATAATCCAACATCAACAGATCAACACGATTCATCAAGTGATAATCATAATATTCCACTCACAATGGTACTCGAATGATCAAGAATTGTCACCGTTTAGTGGATCAAATTCTGGAAAAATGATAATCCAAGTGACCATGGGTCAGCTAATCAAGATTCTTCTCATGATCATCATCAAGTTAACAACAATCAAGGTTTCTCATTTTCCGATACTTCTAATCAAGGTTCATCTAATGGTCAGTCAAATGATCAGTCGATTTCATCTGGACAACATCAAGACTCATCGATTCCAAATAGACAATCCTCTGAATCTCATGGTGAAACATCTCATGATAATGGAATGAGCTCATTCACTGAAAACACTTCAAGTTCATCAAATAATCAAGAAAACCCAAACAATGATCAACAAGGAACCAATCAAAATGAAGGGATGATCGCGTTCACTGAAACTGTTACTAACTCTGAAAATACTCCAGTTAATTCAGGAATCAATTCATTAGCCGACGAAGGACAATTAGCACTCAAAGTCCATCGAACGACAAACAAACCCCTTTACAAGGCCAAAAAGTACTTCAGTAATCAATTATCGCCGCAAGAATCTCAAGGAATCAGTCCGTTCGTCGAAACTGTTTCCACCGACCAATAGTCCAACTACTACTCAGAATTCCTCTAATCAAAACGATAATTTCTCAGTAAATTCTCAGAATGATAAAGAATTGACTTATTATTCTGATTCTAATTCTAGTTCTAATAATCCAGCGACTGACCAAACGTCCAGTCCACAAAGTGACCATCGAACTACACTTGAACCTAATTCTCTTCACGAATCAAATGGTTCAGATGAGAAAATAATCCCTCCTAATCAACAGAATGATCTAAGTAGTCAGTCAAATGAAAATTGGAACTAATTGTTTACCGATTAACCTTCTCAATCACAATCAATGTAACAATTAACCCTCAATACTAATTTTGAGGTGTAAGAAATTATAATTTATCAATATATTTATAACGTGTGCCAATCACAAAGAAAAATCAACTAATCAGGTAAACAATTGTTTCTTTAAACTTAATCATTTACTTTGAGTAAATTATTTTTCATCTTTTTCATTTGTTAATTTCAAATTAACTTTTTTGTTTAAAGTAATTTATTGATTGGAAAAAGTTATTTATAAACAATTAACCCTTTAATTTAATTGTACTATTATTTATTTCTTTTTTTATATTTATATAAACTTTATTTATTAATTGGTAATAAAAATTTATTTATTTAATTATTTCAATGATCATTAAATTTTTCATTCTATTGGCCTGATTATCACAATTAAATCGGTCCAATTGTTTTATTGGTTAATCGTTTTTAGAAAATTAAAAAATTGAACTTGAAATATTTTCACTTACGATTATTATAATTGACTACTAAATAAGTATCAATTGTATAATTGTAAATATTTTTCATTCAATTGTTGATTGATTACAATTTACTATCCTCCCAAGGTCGGAGGTAATTCATTAGGCATTTAGCACCCGAGAGGGTGGCCCTTGTGGGCACTGAGCTAAACGCTCAGTTCTTACAATTTTTGCTTGTAGTATTTTTACAATTTCATTGAAAATCTTTAGTTTGTTTACAATATTTTCTTCATTCATTAAATACCAGTCCTCCAATCGTAAGTGTCTTGTTGTCTTGGATTCATCAGCTTGGTTTTTGAACAGTGAGATTGTTTAAATTTGAATATGAAATAGGCATCAGTAGGTTGAGACGAAGGCCAAGATCAGGTCCAAAAAAGTTTAACTCATTAGGTTCGTCATGAAAAGAAAATAAAATTAGAAGAGAAATTTCAAATTTGTATCAAGTTAAGCGCTCAGTTTTGTACAGTGATTGTGTTTTTATTTTTAGGTTTGTATTTGATAAGTTTAAATTTGAAAGGCATCTGAGGCTTTGAGTGTGGTTTTTGGTTTCTTTGTTAGGTTATCAATCAAACTTACCAAGAAAACTAAAATGGTTGAAGTTATTAAATAAATAAAAGCATCAGTTTTAAGAGTAACAAGAACAACTAAAGTAACTGTTGAACTATCATAATTTTGGTATCAACTTGATCCTTGTGATGAGATTAACAATAATAACACAAAATTTAATTTTAAATTCACAAGTAAAGTTAATTAAATTAAAAATTATTAGGAGCGAAAAAAGTTAATCTTTCTCCTTAAGTTACAATTAATTTTCGCAACAATTCAACAACAGATGGAGTTGAAATCGAAAGTGATTATGATGACCTCTGGTGGAAATGTTGATAATTGAAGTTGATTTTTTTTCTCTAAAAATTTTTTTGTTTACATGAAGCAATTTTGTTATTTTCTCTCATTAACAATTAGTTATAACCTTTTAATTGTGTTTAATTAAACTGAGTGTATACAGTTTAAGGTAATTAAGCCTAATGGATAATTCAAATTGGTGGAAACACGTTATCGCTGGTGCATTTGCTGGTGGTGTTTCGAGAACGGTAACCGCTCCATTAGACAGAATTAAGGTTCTCTTACAGGTCCAAGGGGCTCAATTAGTCAGTATAAGAGGTTGTTATTATTATATGATTAAAGAGGGGGGTGTTAAATCGTTCTGGATGGGAAATGGTATAAATGTGATGAAAGTAGCTCCAGAAAATGCCTTGAAATTTACTTTCCATGATCAGGTAACATCATTTGTTAATCCAACTGTTAATCCATTTCTTTTTCTTCTTCTTCCTCTGTACACCTTGTATTCTGTATTTGGATTGTGTTGAATAGAGATTTTCATTTCTGTTTGTCGCTGTATTTTTGTCTCTCTTTCATTATCTCCACTCAAAATTGCTCTTCACATTGTGTTTTCGTTTCCTCTCTATGTGTTAACTACCGGGTTCATCACCATGAACCGGTCTGAAAAGTGTCTGAAAAGTTATTCATCTTGTTAACCTTGAAATTTTGCCTTCTTATTTTTCATTCTCACCTCTTTCGCAATCATCATCATGTCTCTTTAAATACTCTATTTCTCTTTTCTCTCTCTCGCTTTCATATCTTTTTCCTTGTTAATATGTGTATACTTTTGCCTTTTCTGTTTTATTCCTAGTCTAATATCTTACCTTGATCAAAAATCAATGACTAATCTGAATCATCATCTTTCTGTTTTCTTTTTTTTTCCTTCATTCTCTTTAGATTAAACTTCTCATGCATGATCAGATGAAAACTGAACTTGGCTTTATAGAGAGATTCATTTCCGGGTCCATTGCTGGATCTTTTTCTCAGACTGTGATATACCCGATGGAGGTTTTAAAAACTCGTTTCTGTCTTCGTAAAACTGGACAATATAAAGGCCTTTGGGATGCCATAGTTAAGATTTACACAACTGAAGGAGTTCGTGCTTTCTATAAAGGTTATATTGCCAATCTTCTTGGGATCATACCTTACGCTGGAATAGATTTAGCCACTTATGAGGTTCGTTTTAATCATCACCATCATCATTATTATGATTATCGAGGCAATTCATCAATCTCTCAGTTAAAATGAAAAGAGAAACATAAAATTGCTTCATAATTTTTGTTCAACAATATAAATCGATTATATTTTTTTTTATTATTATTGTTCTTTCATGTTTAATTATTATCAATATTTTCTCTTTTCTCTTATATATAGACCTTGAAAAGAATGTACATTCAAAGACATCCAGGGAACCCACCATTAGGACTTTATCTTGTCTGTGGGACTGTCAGTAATATAACGGGTGTTTGCATCGTCTACCCATTAACACTAATAAGAACTCGTTTACAAGCTCAAACATCTGATTCAGTTTTACCTATTTTAATGGTATTCAAGAAAATCATCGCCGAGGAAGGTTACTTTGGATTATATCGAGGAATATTACCCAATTTTCTCAAATGTACTCCAGCAGTTAGCATTAATTACTTTATTTATGAATTTACACGTATTCTACTCGGAGCTGAAATGTCTTGACGACACTTAGTCATAGGTATCAACATTTCATTTCACAACAAAAACACCCAGAGATTTATTATTATGTATATTTAAAATGCTTAAATAACTAAGATCATCCAAAAAAACTGTTCCTCATCTCGATTTCACATGAGCCAACAACAAGAACCACCAACAATCAACATCATCTAATTTTCAATTTTATGGGCCAGGGATTTACCTCGTATTCACATTACTCTTTTTCTCGCACATTTTTTTCAGTCTTTTTTTCATTTTCTTTTTTTCTCTTTCATGTAATTTCTCTCTCACTCTCTCTCTCTTTCTCCTATCAGGACCTTTGACATCTTTTTCCATTTTGCTGTTAATTTATTCACCTTTATATTGTTTCCTTTTTCTCTTACTTTCGTTTTCCTCCACAATGGATTTCAAATGAAACAAGCAAGAGGTGCGAATCTAAATTATACAGATGACCAACGAATTAAGTTGATTAATTAAATGTAAATATTTCTACAGGTTTTCCTCATCCTGTGAATTGAGGACAAGTAAAATGAGATGAAAAGTCTTTCTTGTGAAATAAAGCGATATGTTTTCTGAGCTTTTCTAAAGATGATTGTCTCAATTGTCCGAATATCTTTTTTTTTAATTGTTTCGCGAGAAAGAAACAAAATTCATTTTCATTGGGGTTTGATTGGGTTTTTTCATCTAAGGCTTTTATTACAAATGACTGTCGAAGGGACACAAAACAAAATAGAATTTTGTTAAGTTGGGTTAATTTGAAGAAAAAGGTAACTGGACAATCAAATATTCTTTCAGTTACCTTTCAATCTCTTTTTTTTTCTCTAGACAATGACAGATATTTGCAATAGAAAACCTTAATAACAAAATTCTTCGTTTCTTAAATTAATAGAGTCTGATTGGAGGTCCCATGGATGATTTGATGTGTAGGGATTTAATATTTTGCCAATTCTTTTTGAGAAGAGAGACCAAAAAGTTGACGCCTAAGTTGATGTTTTGAGCCAATTCATCGGGTGTCATTTGAACATGGCCAATGGCTACAGCCAAACATAAAACCTTCTTCATTTGGAACTTGATGGTTGCCTTAACTTCATCAGCTTTAGCCACCATACTTTCATTGTGAGTCAACAGCGCTGGAAATTTACCAGCTTTGTTTAGACCAGGACCAAGGAGACGAGGAATTTGTTTAATCAATGATTCAGAAGCAAGGAAAGCATCATAACCTTTGGCCAATTTCTTAACCAATTTCTTGTTCTTGTTCAACTTTTTCAAATCATCGGCATTCTTAGCATCCAATCCATTGGCAGCAGCTTCGTCACAATGTTGCTGATCTCCAAGAATACAAACTCGGAATCGAGGTCGAGGAATATGTTTCACCTTAACGGTACCAGAGAAACGCTTATCCTTTTGGGGATCATAATTTTTAAGACCAATTTGTAATTCGACAGTCTCAAGGAAATGTCTTTTATTCCTTTTACTTTCCAATAGGACTTGGTTTACTCCTTCATAAAGAGCATCTTTAGTTACCTTTGAAACGACCATTTCAATTCACTAATTAATTACAATAAAACCCTAAACAATAAACACAAACGAACAAATAACCACTCTAGATGATTGAATTAATCACAAAATCAAAATTAAATTACTTAATTTAGTTGTTAAACTAATCCCATGTGCCAAATATTTAAGATTTTGCCTTAAACAAAAAATTATCAACTGAAGACCGGATACAGAACCGACTTCCTTTCGAATAGGGGACCGTATACTAAATACGCTTTAGAATAGAATAGAAAAAAAAATTTCTTTTCTTTTTCCAAACAATTAAGTCTCAACTCTCTTTAATTAATTTTGTTTTTCTATTTTAATGAATAGACTCTTAAATCATTTATTGATTGGGAGAAAAAAATTAGAAGAATAAGAACAATTAAATTAGAAAACAATAACAATTAGAATAAAATTTAAAATCGAAATGAAAACAAATCAATGATTATGGAAAATTATATTTTCTTAATCAAATTAACTCTAATTTTGTTCAATTGTTATTTTTTTTTTAATCAGATTCAGTTAAGTTAATCTTGAGGATCTAATTGTTGTGAAGATTAATTATTTTTGTTACAATTAAAATTTGATTGTTTACATTGATTTCCATTCATTAGGTGGCGCTTGTTAGTCAACACATGTTAATGTTTTCGTTTGGTTTTAGTGTTGATTTAATTTTCTAATTTTGTTCCTCTTAACATGTTAATTAGTTGATTAATTGGATTGATCTTTTTTATTGTCAAAGTTACAATTGATTCTCTGGTATCATGTTATCATTTAAAACAATCGTTTCTCGAGTACAACCACAAAGAAATCGAGTAATTTTCATGCCTCATGTGGTTAAATCAACTTTAACCAAATCAGCTGCTAGGTAAGTTTTGTAATTCTAATTGTTTTTGATTCAATTGTTGTTTTTATGATTTATATTGATTTACTGTTTTTTTCTCAATTTTTGTTGATAGTAATACTGGCAAATCCAAGACTTTTAGTGAGAAGAAAATCTTTACCTGTGATACCACTTGAACCAAAATCGATGAAAAATTTGGTCAATCAAACAAATGTTGGTGAAGAATTGACTGGAAGGAAAATTCAACGTCTTGAGATTTTACAATTGTTACAAAAATTTTATCAACGACCACATATTAAAGAGATGGCAATTGAATTGGGAATGGATCTTTCAATTTACAATCAAGCTTTTAAAAGTTTTCAACAATATTGTGTTACAACTAATCCTTTACCAGTTGATCTTCATGTCACTTTCTCGGATATTTTAAATAACTCTGGTCATGTTGATGATATTTACACACCTTTTATTAAATATGCTCGTTCTATTTTTCCTCATCTTGATTGTATTGAGGAATTAAAGAAAATCAGTGACCTTCGACTTCCACCAAACTGGTATCCTGAGGCAAGATCAATACAGAGGAAAATTATTTTCCACTGTGGACCAACTAATAGTGGTAAAACATATCATGCTTTAGAAAGATTTTTATCCGCCAAATCGGGTGTTTATTGTGGCCCCTTGAAGTTATTAGCTGTTGAAGTACATTCAAAGGCCAATGATAGAGGAACAAAATGTGACCTTGTTACCGGAGAAGAGCGTCGATTAGCCGATCCAAGTGGAGCACCTTCACCTCATAATGCTTGTACCGTAGAGATGGTATCAACTCGAGATAATTGTGAAGTCGCTGTTATCGATGAAATTCAAATGCTTCGTGATCCTCAACGAGGTTGGGCTTGGACAAGAGCCTTACTTGGTGTGCCCGCTTTAGAGGTACATTTATGTGGTGAAGAAGCAGCGGTAGACATTGTTAAAGAAATTTTACTTCCAATTGGCGAAACAGTTGAAGTTCGTAAATATAATCGATTAACTAAATTAACAATAAGTGATGAACCCTTATTATCATTGAATAATGTTCGACCTGGAGATTGTATTGTTTGCTTCAATAAAGCCGAACTCTATGCAACTGTCCTGGAATTAGAGAAAATGGGAAAAGAAGTGGCCGTTATCTATGGTAGTTTACCACCGACCAGTAAATTAGCTCAAGCAAGAAAATTTAATGATCCATCTTCATCTTGTAAAATATTGGTTGCAACCGATGCCATTGGTATGGGTCTTAATTTAAGTATTAATAGAGTTATTTTCAAATCAATTGAGAAACTCAATACCAATGATAAAGGAGAAAAGGAGAAACAGTTAATCAGTGTTTCTCAAGCACTTCAAATAGCTGGACGAGCAGGTAGATTTGGAACTGATTACTCGGAGGGTTTCGCCACCACCATGCACAAGGAAGATCTTCAAATATTGAAAAAACTTCTCGTTCAAACAGTTGATCCAATTGTTGCCGCTGGTCTTCATCCAACCGCTGAGCAGATTGAACTTTTTGCTTACTATTTACCGAAAGCAACTTTATCCAATTTAGTAGATATTTTTGTCTCACTGTGTCAAATTAATTCATCGAATTACTTTATTTGTGATATTAGTCCATTCAAAGCTTTAGCTGATATGATTCAACACATTAATCTACCATTAAGAGCTCGTTATGTTTTCTGTTGTGCACCAATTAACCTTCAATATGGTTTCGTTTGTAGTATGTTCACCAAATTTGCTCGGCAATACAGTATCAATGAACCAGTAACTATCGACTGGTTGAGTAATCAAATTAATTGGCCTGTTCCAATACCGAGAAATATTAATGAATTAGCTTCATTGGAGATGACTTTTGATGTTCTTGATCTTTATCTATGGTTAAGTTACCGTTTTCCAGATCTTTCCTGATCCTGAATTAGTAAGAGGATTACAGAAGGAGATTGATGGTAAAATTGAGAAAGGATTAATTCATCTTGCTAAATTGATTACTGCTAATTTAAAATCAAGTAAACTCAGTTCACCATCGACTAGAACCCGAAGACGAATAGAACCAGCAATTAATGGAAAAGTCGACCAATCATCAACAACTTCGAACGAAGATCAATTTAAAACTGAAGAAATCACTGAGTCTCCAACAGCTAAGAAATTAGTTCAATCTGGTCAAATATCTGCAGAGATGTTAAAGAAGCTGCACAAGGAATGGAGTAAAAAGAAATAACAAATTTTTTTGACGATGCAAAAGAGAAAACTGTAAATAGTAAATTTAGAGCTATAGATTTTGTACAATAAAAATTGTTTACAACGAAGCGACTATAACATTTAGTTTGTTGAGAGCACGTTTTTGAGGTGAAAAGCCTAACACACTTGAGAAATAGAATTTAAGACGTTAAGTCAGCGCGAAGAACAACGGGGAAATGTGTGAATAAGATGAAAGAAATGAAGAATCACCATGAACGATTGAATTAATGTTGAAACATTATTAATTTAATTGGAAACTCTATGTCAGCACAATACAAAACAATTAGAGCTTAAGCTTGGTTCTTCGCCAATGTCTCCTTTTAGCATTGTATCGAATCTTGTTTCCATTTTTCATTCTTATCCATTGAGGAATAGGTCGGTTGGTCTTTTGTTTTTTGGCCAACTTGATTTTAATCCTAAATGTCTTATGGGCAGACTATAGAAGAGAAGAAAAAAAATCAAGATAGAGAACAAAAAATGAGAATCAAAGAAAACATAAAATAATTCAATCACAAATAGAAAACATAGATAACTAATTATTCACAATGATTCTCGATACAAAACTTACCATTTTAAACTAATTTTACACTCACAATTAAAGAAATAACTTATTAATTACAATTAACAATCTCTAATTGAAACAAAACAAAATCTTGAAACCAAAAAATGAAGTAAAAGTAACTTTCCGGTTCCGTTTGGAAGAAAAAAAATTAGGGACCGATTACTAATTACAGAATGTAAATTCTTTTCTATTTTATTTGGGGAATAAAATTTCTGATCCATTCAAATGGATTCAGATATTTGTATGTAAACAATTAATTTTTTTCATTCTCTTTGCGTTTTAATTAATGTGATTGAT